GAATCAAAATCTACATTATATTTTATTGGCGGAAAATGTGTATATTTAAAGCTTGAGGTTATCTTAAAAAGAAATTACCTTAATATGCNGTTTAAGTATTCTTTAAATTCTCTATTTCATCTAGTCTTTAAATTTCAATCTTGCATTTGTTTCGAAATGGTTGCTATGCTATGCATTATAATGAAAAATTGTTTTAGGTAGTTAGAGCTTCTAAAATATTGTTATAGAGTTTTAATATTAATTTAATTTTGATTAAAAATTTATAGTTTTTTAAATCAAAGTTCTTACAGTGTACTAAAATGAAAATTTAAATAAAATCCGATTTAAGCAAATAAAAACCGATTTAAATCAAAATAATCAGTTTTTTTTTAAATCACGAATCCTGTCTGAGACTAGAAAGCGACATCAAAGATAATATCAATAATTAAATTTTTCTTAATCTCAAAGACAATAAGTTAAAAGAGAAAAAGCAAATAATGTAAGCAAAGTTTTATTTTCCAAACTTAATTTGAAAAAATATTATTTTAAACTTGAAAATCTTAAATATGCTACTGAGAATTCCTTAAAAATCTTTTTTAAATTATCATTTAATAAAAATAACGAAAATGCGGTATTGATGCGTTTAAAAGTCTTATAGCGGTTTTCAACGGAGACTTCTAGATCAGACGGAATGTTGAAGCGAGAGAAAACGTTCTCCGGCCTTCCCCCTTCTAGTTGGCCTTGCCACTACCTGGTATTATACATTTGTCCGCTATACCCTACGCTGATTTTTTTTTAAGGGCAAGTGCCATTGCCCGGTATATCCTACACTGATGTTTTTTTAAGGTGCAGTGCCACTGCCCGGTATACCATACACTGATAATTTTTTTAAGGTCAAGTGCCATTGCTCGGCATATATTTGCCCGATGCTCCAAACCCCCAAATGATTCTTCTGATCTATCGTCAGGAAGAATGAAAATATCGAATAAATGTAATTATATCCACAACTAATATAATCGGATGCAATCAATATTTCGGACATTCATCAAAGCGACTATGTGATTGTCAAAATTCACCGGTGAAAGTCAACAACCACCGATTTCGGTCATTCACAGTAATATGCACATCATTTACATAATAACCTCATCAGGACGTTTATTTCATACTTTGCCTAAATAGCATTTGTCATTCTATGGAATTATATATTATATACAATGCCTAGGTTATACAATATTATATACAATGCCATTATATACAATGCCTACGGAAAGTATGTAATACTTCTCATATTTCAGACTTTGCCTAAAAACGTCCGGCATTATGTAGAATGACTAGGCATTTTATATAATGCCGACGTTTCATACTTTGCCGGTAACATATTTATCATATTAAAATTAACAAAGCACATTTACGTTACTTATAAATTGAAATCCTTTTATTCGAAGTTAAATCTTGCAGTAAATAAACTATGAGCCAATTCTTTATATACTACTCAATAAATTGCAAGGTAGTTTTATTGCCATGCTTTAAGTCATTACATACTTCTTTAAAACTGAGGCTGCGAAGTTCTCTGAAATTATATAATATTTCTCTAATAAAGTGACAGTGAAAAAGCAATATGAGTTAATTTTGTTTTTTATTTTGCTAGCACTTAACGCATGAATATGTAACTAATAGTTATTTATATCTGTCTATGCTGTTGAGAGAATAATTATTTTAATCATATTTATAGTTGTTAAATTAGACAAAGCATAAGTATTAATGGATGCATTTTGCTATTGCTAGAAAAAATTCTCCCGCAACAACGATAACATTGGCAGAAATGCAAAAGTAAAAAATATATAATTAGCTACAATATTGTGAATTTACGTTTAAATTAGAACATTTTAAAGCCGGGCGGGTTTCAAAATGTGTGTTGCAGAACTGAGAATTTATAGGGAATTTGTTTCAGTAATTGTAACAACATGAAATGATTGCAATAGTGACTTAAGAAAGATATTTTTGCAATGGTCTTTTCTATGGAAAATTGTTTTATGATAGAAAAATATATACATGTAAATTTATTCCAAAAATATTTTAGTTAAATTTTAAACTTCCTAGCCATAATCGGAAGTGTTTTATGTTGAATGTACTCTTCTAGAGAGACAAAATGTAAAAATATATCGGCCATCTCATTTAAATTGTTTTCTTTAAGTTGTGAGTTATCTCTTCTAGTTGTATTTACAGGATACATTATCAATCATTACAAAGAGTTTTTTTTTTCAGGACATCAACCAAAATGCAGTGATGAACAAGTAAGATTTTCATATTTTAACAAGAAAAGTTAATATCTAAGCATTTTTATTGTTCATAATAGATATCGGTGATCTTTTTTTCAAAGGTGAGTTTATATAATCGTTGTAAGGTAAGTATTATATACCCTGATCCCCCTCCCAAGTATAGGGTATACGAAGCTTGATGTAAGGTTTGTATATAGTAACAGAACAATATTTTAATTTTAAGTTCGCCCATCCGTTTTCATTTTGTTAGCACGCGACGATTTTTTTTATGCAGCTGCATTAGTATTTTATTGTTCGTTAAAGTTTTTTTTCACGTATAATGTGCCAAAAGAAAACAAGCCGTACTGAATAACTTTTGATTTAATAATCGAATCTTCACGTTCTGGGACTCAATTTCGAGGGGGTGACCTTAAATATGCTAATTAATTTAGTACAGACTATATTTTAAGTTACTAAATCAGACGCAACTACGTACGGTGCTTGTTTTCCATTGTTTCCTTGGTGCTTGTTTTCCATTGCTTCATTGGTGCTTATTTTCCATTATTTCATTGGTGCTTNGGTGGCTACACAAAATACTGATTTCGATCTCTTGTTATTGTTTGTTTGCTTTGAAAGTTTAATCATTTATTTGTACCACTACCATTCAACTGTGTATTAAATTTCATTTAATTATGACGATTCCTTCATGGTGTTGCAATTTTCACAAACAGGAGTTTAATTAATGTAAGGTAAGTATTATACACCCTGATCCCCCTCCCAAATATAGGGTATACGAAGCTTGATGTAAGGTTTGTCTATAGTAACACAACAATATTTTAATTTTAAGTTCGCCCATCCGTTTTCATTTTGTTAGCACACAACGATTTTTTTATGCAGCTGAATTAGTATTTTATTGTTAGTTAAAGTTTTTTTATGTACAATGCGCCAAAAGAAAACAGACCGTACTGAATAACTTTTGATTTAATAATCGAATCTTCACGTTCTAGGACTCAATTTCGAGGGGGTAACCTTAAATATGCTAATTAATTTAGTACAGACGATATTTTAAGTAACTAAATCAGACGCAACTACGAACGGTGCTTGTTTTCCATTGCTTCATTGGTGCTTATTTTCCACTATTTCGTTGGAGCTTGTTTTCCATTAGTTCGTTGGTGTTTGCTTTCCATTGTTTCCTTGATGCTTGTTTTCCCTCATTTCGTTGGTGCTTGTTTTCCATTATTTCGTTGGTGCTTGTTTTCCATTAGTTCGTTGGTGTTTGCTTTCCATTATTTCGTTGGTGCTTGCTTTCCATTATTTCGTTGGTGCTTGTTTTTCATTCTTTTCTTGGTGCTTTGTTTCTGAATGTTGCTAGTCGTTTTCTGAATGTTCGTTTTTCATCGTCACCTTGGTGCTTGTTTTTGTTTCCTTGGTGCTTGGTTTTGTTTCATTGGTGCTTGTTTTTGTTTCTTTGGTGCTTTTTCCATTATTTTTGTTTTCCATTATTTTCTTGGAGCTTGTTTTCAATCGTTATATTGGTGCTTGTTTTCAATCATTTCCTTGCTGCTGGTTTTTCTTTATTTTTTTGTCCTTTATTTTTCGTCGTTTTCTTTGTTTAGTTTTCTGTCCTTTCCTTTGTGATATGTTTTTGACGTACCTCTTGTCGAATTTCGTACCTGTCATCATTTTCACTTATTCTCAAGTTTTTCCTTTACTTATGGTTTACTCCTTTAGAATGTAATTTGATTGATTTTGATCAATTATTATAGTTTAATGTTATTTAGTTTTATAGGAAAAACTAAGGGCTCAATAACTTTGACAGATTTGAACCTGCATTATAAACATTTAAGAAACAACGCAAATGGATGCTGGATTCGATAATTCTGAAGAACTTCAGCTGCACGTGTAAGTAAGTAATTCTCAAATTTTAATTTTTATGAAGCTATTAATCTTCAAATTAAATTTTTCATTTCATTTATTTTACTTTTTAATTTAATTTTTTAATGTTTTTTTACGATAATATTTGACATTTTTATTTCACGGTAAATTTTCATAAAAATTTAAGTTTGTCAACGAACCCTTATAAATTTTTTTTTATCTTAAAAGTGCACCCTTAACAATATTTTTCACCTAAAAAAATAACCTTCTATATATATGTGTGTCTTACGCATAACAAAAACGACTAAGAATTTAAATCATAACTTTAAAGCTACAACTGTTTAAAAAAAGGCTTTTGTGTTTTTATTTACTACAAAAATCGGGATTTTATTTTTCACATATATACAAAAACAGGAACTGAGGTCTACAATAATTTTAGATTCAGAGAAATGTGAAAAGATTTTTCTCAAAATATCGAAAACAGGTTCTTATTTTATTTTCTCGAAATATTGATTAAATTTTTTTTAATTTCACAAAAACCTGTTCTGTAGTTAAAAGACTCGAATAAAAGTTTACAAAATTAGCAATTACAAGTTCTAGATAAATAAAAGTAACATTAAAAAAATAAAATTAGGTACCTTATGTATTAAAAAAAATTAGCAGCAGTCTCAAGAGCCTTTCACAGCTTTAATATTAATTCAAAGAGCTACTGCAATTCTAATAACAATGCATACCCATAAATGGATTTTTTTTTAAATATATTCTAGTTTTACTTGACCTTTTCTACGTAGTCAATAAATTAAAACTGTCTTAAACGATAGCATTTCTGTTTTGTGCCACTTTGCAACGACTGATACTATACAAAATATTTAACATATATTATTTTTTAGCTGCAAAACTGAATGATTGAAGTCAGAAAATGTCTGCAAGCTACCACTATTTTGTTTTTTAAATGTAAGTGATGTACACTGGTAAATTCAGTTTTTAATCATTTCATTAGAATAATATCTATCTATCTATATATAATATCCCCATCCCCCTCAAAATGAATTTTGAAATAGTAGTATTTTTAAAACTCTTTTTCGTTTTTCAAAGGCCCTTAAAGATGCTTTTTTTTCATGGGGTGTTTTTTAAAGAGCTTAATTTTTCTTTTCTAAAATGAGGCTTTTTCCTTTACCGTGACGATCTTCGCTGCGTATTATGCAAAAACGTGTTTTTCACTTCATTCTATTCAACGTTTTCATATTTCATTCAACCACAATCCATTTCGGTGTACCATCGGCCAAGAACGTATGATAGCCCCCCAATCATGTTGAAATACTTGGGAGTCTGCATGCGTATCTCCTGAGCTCAGTTCGGTGAAAATCTTGCACTCTTATGTGCAACTCTGCTACATTTTGCAACATATTCTTAATTTCAGACTTCTAAAAAATCTTGATCTTCTTATCGTGGCTAATATGATCAAGAAAAGAATTCTTTGTCAGAAACTAGTTATTTTAAAATGATCATGTAAAGTCTTTGAACATTATTTTGCATTTTGTTAAAGCATATAGTGCTTAAAATTATTTTCTGACTGCTTAAAAAATACTTAAAAGGTGCTTATTTTTGTTGAGAGATTTCGGTACGCACCCTGTCTAGTTAAATGCCACTACCCGGTATACACTTGTCTGGTATACCCTACATCAATGCTTTAAGTTCCAGTGTCACGGTCCGGTATACATTTACCTGATGTACCCTATGCTGATGTTTTTTAAGGTTCAGTGTTACTGTTCGATATATATTTTACCAGTACTCCGAACACTGATATTTCTCCTAATCTATCCTCAGAAGATATTGAAATATCGTATAAATATAATAATATCAGCGAATAAATTAATATAAAATCAGATGTACCAAATATTTCGGACATTCACCAAAGTGACTATGTGATTGTTGATATTCACTGGTTAAGTTGACAATCTCTTTATTTCGACGCTAACAACTTGATTTCGACGATTTTTCAGTCATGGTGATAACTACATTTCGAAAATAGGTTTTTTAAAAAAAAGTAGTTGCAGTTAAGTACATTTTATTTTTATTTGATAACCGTAGTTGAACAGCTGTACAGATTTTTGGGTTTACTGCAAATAATGTTCAACTGCGTAATCGTGTAATTTTTCTAATCCAATCCAGAAAGCAATGAAACTCCTGTATCAAGCATTGGGAAAAATTTTCCTTCGTTGAGGACGTTTTGAAGGAACTAACCCACATTTGCGTTGCATGGAGAGGAAGACCACGAAAACCTTACACTGTTAGCCAGACGGCAAGGGGACTCTAACCCATGATCCGTCTATCACTGAGGTAGGTTGGCATTCACCGTTGGAGGTTGACATTTTCTTTATTTCGGTCACTAACAGTAATATATGCATTTCAAAATTTTTTGCTGATTCGGAAGAGCATTGGTTTTATTGAGCTATAAATTTGTTAAAAAAAATTTCTTTCACGCATCAGTTTTTAAAAGTTGAAATGCATTACTCAGTCGAAAATTTATGAACTACATTTCTGTTTTATTTGTTGCTTAATTATACTGGCAAACATTTTGTTTTCCCGTACAGTTGATTCAGTAAAAATGCTTTAACAATATTCTTTGGGTTAAGTTTAAGCGACATTTGAAACTGTTTCAATTGTCTAAGGTCAAAAATATTTCTTAAACAGAAAAAACTAGTTATTGGTACTAATTTTATTGGTACTCATTAAATTAAGGACCAACAAATTTAATTTTTTAAATTTTTTTTTACAATAAATTCTAAAATGAACTATATTAACTAATAAGCAAGTGCTTTAAATTTAAATATAAAATATTTAGCTCATTAAAGAATGATTAATATTTCTTATAAATTTGTAAATAAATTTACGAAGAGGAAGTAAAAACGCTTTATTAACATTTTCAAAAAATAGAATTCCAATTCTTTCAAAGGGTCCCTAATTCCTGTGCCCCTCTGGGCCCCAAACATGAACAAGGCTGCGTGCTGGTTTATAATATAGCATCCTTATGTTAGAGTAACAAAAATTTTCATCAGATTGGTCAAAAATAAGTTTTAACTCATTTTTGTTATAACAACCACGTTAGTTTTGGTGGCTCAGAAGATAGAGCGCTTGCCTTCCAATGAAATGAATCAGGTTCGAATCCCAGAGATGGCTGGTCGATAAATATATTCCGCATCCAGCTTGCACCGACCTCAGTGCTGACATAAAATATCCTCAGTTGTAGGCGGACAATCCCCTTGTCGTCTGGCTCACCTTGGGAGGGTTTCCTCTTTGTGAAACTCAAATGCAGGATAGTCCCATCAAAAAGTCCTCCACAAAGACGAATTTCTCCCAATACCCAATCCAGGATTTCTCTTGTCTTCTGGATTGGGTCTAAAATTACAAGGTTATTGAGTTGAACATTAGTAGTTATAAACCCAAAATTAGGTCGACTGTGTTCAACGACAATTATAAATGAAATTATAAATAATGGTTTATAAAATCTTCTTTAGATTAAGATTTATATACATATTTTTTAATTTTTCTAAATTTATGTGATTATATTATTTCCAATTTTGAATTCCTCTTTTCGATTTACATGATTATGCATGATGTATCAAAACATTGTTCGTAGCCTAAGAAGGTTGCTAGTAAAATATCCTTTCTTTTATTTCTCCAATGTTGATAGATATGTAAATAATTTTAAATACATATTTTGTCATTATAAAATTGTTGTTACCATTCAATGGAGTAACAACGTTTAAGTTTAATTGATTCTGTGAAACACTATTAATTTAAATGGCGATGAATAAATATCCACATATCATTGCATTATTACATTGTATTATTTACATATCATTGCAAAAGCAAAAATATCTGCATGAAGTATTAATGTGAGCAAGTTAAGGTTAAGTAATGATGATTCTAAAGGCTTACAATAAAATAAATCATCTCCAATTCCATGTTTTGATAATTTTCATAAGTAGCTTAATAAAGTAATTTATTGAATAAGTTGAGATAAAAGATTGGAAAAAAATTTCCTCCATCTTTTTCTTAAAGATACATTAAACATTGCTATAATTAAAAGAACTACAGGGAATGAGGTAATTTTTTGAACTTTACACTTTATTTTTCCTTTTTTTAAATTTTTTTTTCTGTATTCATTATTGTATTTTTTTTCAATCATATTTTTTTATATTAGCAGAAAAATTTTAACAAAAATATTGATAACTCATTGAAGATATTTTCATTTAATATTATTTTACTTAAAACTCTATGTAATATTAAAATAAGTAATGAAAGTATTTTATTCTTTATTTATTGATAAATAATTTATATGCATGTGTTACTATTTTATATATATATGTATTAATATACCTCATTTATAATTTTATACTTTTAAACAACTTGTCTAAATATTTCGCATTTAATTCAAATTAATTCAATGGATGAAAAAGAAACAAAAATGCTTATATCAAGCTAAGATTATTACATTTTACATGCGTAATGCTGACGTAATCTTGAATTTTCATTAAGTGGTGTTGTAAAGTAATATGTAAGCATATTTAAAATCTTAAGTTACTATTTTTTTAAATCACAATAACTCAACAACGATGCATATTTTTGAATTGTTAATCAAAAATATCATTTAATAGCTAAGACGTTACTATAAACTTTCTTGAAAGGTTCAGTAACTTTTAATTTGGGACTTAAGGTGTCATTTTGCTCTTTGTTTTTCATAAACTGAAATATAAAAGAAATATTTAAAAAAAATCATTGTTTCTAGAAAGCACAGGTTTTGAAAATGAAGAATCTGATTTTAACTATTTGTTACTGAGATTACTGCTATCTAGTTGTGCATATTATTATTCTTTTTTTATAAACATTTAATTTTGCTTATTTTTGATTTTGATTTGGTGAATTGACTTTTTTTTGGGGGGGGGGGCATTTTTATTGTTACCTTTTAGATACTAATTTAGTAAATTTGATAATTTTTCTTAAATGGTATTGAAAGTATTAATGTCAGATTTACATTATCATCGTGTTCAACTTATTCTATTAACTTTATTTTTGTTCTTTTAACTGCAATGTATTGTCCCCTTGAGATTTATTATAGCCACACAAAATACTAAATCAAATTTCAAAAAGGTTTCCTACTTTATAAAAATTTCATTAATTTACGATAAAAATATATTTTATTGATGTTAATAATTGTGGTTGTCTATTTATATTTTCACTTTACTGTTATTTCTTGAAAGGATGTTATCAAAGCAACTTCAACCGAGCAAGTCCACCATTCAGTTTATAGAGATCCAGTTTTTACAAAGATAAGCTTTAAGTCTGAAGTGAAAAAACCAGGACCTGTAAGTTTGTTTTTTTCAATTAATTCCTACCATTAGTTCACACTCTTCCCTTATCTCGTTCAAATTTTCAATCGTTCATAAAATACTTTTCATTCATCCATTCAAGTTTAAATATTTGTAGTGGATGACACTTGATGTTAATATAATTTTTTTTTCAAATATTAATTCATTCATTAAATTTAATTAATTAATTTAAGTTTTATATTGGAGAAAAAACTGTATTTTTTTATTAAAACGTAACTAAAATAAAATTTTTCTTTTGAGTAGGAATTTACTTTAATTTTTTTTTCTATATTACTTGTTTCACCTTTTTGTATTGAGGTCATGTCTATTAAAAAGTTTTAGGTGTTCATTTAGTAATTTTTGTTGATGATTCCAGTTTTATAATGTAATTTCTGTAAATTGGGAACAAATATTCTATAAATTAAATAAGTTTTATTAAGGGCTCAATTCCTTTCAATTTCTTAATTTCCCTAACAAAAGAAAGTGTCCTTAAATGTCCTTAATTATTAAACATTTCTATAAATGTCCTGAAGGTCTGGATAGCCAGGTTGGTAGCGCACTGTGCCCATGTCCAAGAGTTCGTGGGTTCGATCCCCGTCGACCGAAGACTGTGTAGTAAATGGTGACTGATGCACGTTAAATCTGTCAAGTCGCAAAGTCCTCCATGTTCCTATAACAAATCAATACCTCTGGGGGTACTGATCCAGGAGTTTCCTTGTCTTCTGGATTGGTTTAAAATTACAAGGCTACGGAGTTGAATATTAGTAATCGTAAACCCAAAATTTGGCCGGCAGCTCAACGATGGATAAAATAAAATAAAACATAAATGTCCTGAAATTTTTGTATTTTCCAAATTTTTGTTGAAGTTAAAAGCAAGAATAAATATTATTTATTGAAAAAAATTGAAGAAATTTCAAATTCAAAAATTTAGTTATATGAAAACAATGTAGGTAACAAAAGGAATGCTTAAGTTTTCATAGCGTGTTAAGTATGGTATTATTCTACTTCGATTGAGACAACCCTTACCTTGATGGTATAGAACAGGGGTGATCAAGCTCCTTGATAGTCGAGCCATTTTTCAAAATGTGAAATTTTTCGCGAGATGCAATTAAACACGTATTTAAAAGGTATGCAAAAAAGGTATTAAAATAATTTGTTTTACAGAAATTACATTTATTGAAAGCATATAAGTAAAAGTACAAAATGTGTGCATTGAATTTAAATATTAAAAATTAAACACATTTATTTTACTTCTCTTGATAATTCTTTAAAATTTGGTGAATAATTGGTGACAACACTTCTGAGTAATTCTTTAAGAGGCTGGTTAGGTAATACTGATGATTTGGATTTTTACGAATTTTAAAGTAGAATAAAATGATTTACATAAGTGCGTTGTTCTGAATATTGAAATAATTCGACAAGCAGCCTTTTTTTATCGGTATGAATTTTGGAATTTTTGAATCATCTCTTAAAAGCCCAACAAAACTTTTACCCATAATTGCCGGAGCTCCATCACTTGCAATGTTTACAAGTTTATTAAGAGGCTCATCAAAAGTTTTAATTATGGAATCTATTGCATTTTTAATATCGACACCGCGGGTTGATTCTTGAAGTGCTAATACATCTAATTCTTCTTTAATAATGAAGTTAGCTGAAAGAAAACGTTTGAAAACTGCCAATTGAGGAAGATCTGTGATATCTGTTGATTCGTCAAGGGCTAAACTGAATGTAATATAGTTCTTCAAATCATTTTTTTAATTATATGCAAGAGATGTATTAATCACAGTTATGCGTCGTTCGGTTGTGTGTCTCGAGATGTGACTTTGCGAAGCAACTTGGTGCAATGCTGCATTATTTGGATCTAAAACTTTAAGTATATCTTCCAATTTTTTTTAATAGGCTCTCCCTCTCCATACGGGCGTTTTGCCCGAGCAATATTCCAGGCTATAACAAAACTGGCTTCAGCCACATTATTAGCTTACTTGCTAAAGGTCATCAAAATTGACTGTTGCTTATTTAAATTTTATTTTAAGGAAGCAAGTTTATCTTATCTTAATTTGGAATTTGGTGGATGCTGATTAGGAAACTGGGGATGATTTGTTTCATAATGTCGACTTAAATTGCTAGCTTTATAATTTTTGACCGTAGAATTACAAATAACACATAATGCTTTTCCGTTATTGTCAATAAAAAGGAAATTCTCCCACTCATTATTAAAACTTCTACTTTCTTGCTCGTATTTTCTTTTTTTTTAATTTTCGTTCTCTGTCGTCATATTTTTAAAAAAACTTTAAATAAATAAAGAAATTTAAAAAATACAAGTTTTGTGTTATTAAAACAATAACACGTGTTACATACTACGAAACACATTTAGTTAACCCTCCAAAAACTCCAGATTGCAAAATACATCCGTAGCAAGAGTGATACGAATTGTTTCCTCCAGAGCACAGTGCCAACTGCCCGTTGCAATGAAAGTTTACAAATTCGAAATAGGTCTGGAGTCGGTCGATTACGCCACTGCTTATGTTCGTTCGTGCAGTTTTCGATTATTCATATCATTCTTAACTTGAACGGAAATTAAATTAGTTACAACGTTACACTTAGTCTTTCATATTTGTTGTCAGTAATTTAAAATACATTTTGAAGCACATACGGAACGATAATAATTTTTTTTAAATATAATAGCACAAAAATGAAAAGGGAACTCGGATACACTTATCGAGAGCCACAAATAATCCTTCAAGAGCTCGTGAGCCGCAGGTTGCCCCCCCCCCTGGTATAGAACATTCCATGTGGGAGAAATATATAAAAGCTCTTTTCTCCCTCCATCACTATATCCTACTCTGCTGATTTTCTCAAGAGATCATTCCTCGTATTTTGCTACTACTTGACGATTTACCTTATTTATACTATTTTCTCCTACTTTTATTATATAACAAGGCATTTTTGCATATATATATATTTTTTTTTTTTTAAAATCTGAATTCTGTTAAAAATGTTTCTTTAAGTGCAGGATTTACTGAAACTATTAGTAATTGTATATCTTTCAAAGTCATGTTGGTANATGAAAGCTGTAGAGAGGAAAAAGTATAGTTTTGTAGTAAAGAAGGCCAAGTTCCGTCGTCATGGACTGAAGAGTCGAGACGTAAGTTAGCAATGGTAGTAAATATCAAATTCTAAGCAATTTAAGTAATAGTTCAAGATCAAGAGCTAAGTTAGAAAGTTTTTTCCTTATTGAAATTGATAATTTGCTAAGAGTGAAATGTGAAACGTAAACTTATCAAGGTAGTCAGTTTATTAACATGCTAAGTCATCATAGTTTGGTAAATAAAAAAAATAAAAATTCATATTCTAATTTATTCTTTCTTTTTTTTTTTAGTTTGATCTGGAAAAAAATTTATTCCTAATCTGGCTGCAGAAAGACAATTAGTAAAGTCTAGATCTCAGCTGATGGTATTTTTTGTTTTATGTATATTTTTATATTAGATTCTTTATTAAATAAATATAATTTATTTAATCTTTAAAAAATAAACATCAGTTAATGCGTGATTTTTATGCAAAACTACTTATTAAGTACAGTGCATCAAGTTCGAAAAAATACTTTAATATTTTTTTATGCAACTAAATAATAAATAATTGAACAAGAAATAATTTCACAAAATTATGATTTGTATGAAACTCTTTAGATTTGTGCAATTTTGTTGTATTTTCCAAAATAGTTCTTAAGACATATGCAAAAAGTAAAATTAACATTAAAGAACCAAACATTTGACTGGTTTCTATTGGGATCAGATTTAAGAGATGTCCTCCTTGAATGTTAAGATATGAAGGTTATTTAAAGACGTTTTCGTGACTGATTTTTCTGTTTTAAATATCGTCTATACAAATTTCTTTGCATAATTTAGATCGTTAATAATGTTAATATTTCTAAAGTTATTAACATTTTATGTTAGTACTGAAAATCTAATCATTAAGTCAAGCGTTTTTCAGCTGTTACTTTCTTTCTTTGGCTCATTAAAACTTTTAGTATTGTAGCTTTTGTTTTAGATTTGTTATATTTGTTTACAGTAAATAAATAAGATTTTGAGTATTGAAAATTATTTAGTAAAAATCTTCAAATTCATCGCTTTCTAGTTTCTGAATAATTTGTTTTATTTGTGTATACCAGGCATAATAAAGTAAGAAAAAGTAATAGTAAAATAAGAATCCATTTCAGTTTGTTTGATAAATTTGTTTTAACATTTTATTAAAACTTTAAATTCTGCAGTATTTTTCAGTCTTATCTTTTAGATTTGTAAAAAACGCACTTTTATTGATAGATATTTTTACTAAATTATCTATTGACTAATTTGTAAGGTGTTATTGCACTGCTTCAGTCTATATCATGCAATATATATGACAGATTAAAACTTGAATCAAAATCGCTTCTTTAATTATGAATTAAAATTCCTTGACAAAAATTTTATTAACCAACAAAACTGTAGGATGTGTAATTATTGAGTAATAAAAAATTCAAGTACGTAAACTATTTGAAAATTGGTTATTGTTCTGTGAACTTTCTTTTAAAGATTATTCCACTTTAGTTGAAAACAAATTCAGAAAGCTCTAAAATTATAATGCAAGTAATATTAGTTCACTATAATATTCCTTGCATTTTGTTTTTCTAATAACTTAAATTTCCTTCTTTTTTTTAATAAACTCATGAACTCTTTAAAACAGTTTTGGCATTTATAATTTTTTTTAGCAAATAGAAAAGTTACTTTATAGTTAAGAAAAATTAATTAGAGAATTTTAATGTTTTAACTGATCAAAATAAAATACAACTAATTTCATGTAAAAATTAATCATTTTTCATGTAAAAATTAAAGAAGACAGAAATCAATGGATATGAAACAATTTTAAGTATCGAAGAAAGTGCATACTGTATCACAGAGTTATTTAAAAGCATTTCTTGTTTATTTATTTAGTTTTTTTTCCTTGCACCAAAAATATAAATTTATCTGAATTTTTCCTTTATAGAACCTGAAGACTGAAGTGTTTGTTGATGTTATTGAAAAAATAGTGGTCCATATTTCTAAAGAGGTAATAAATTATTCTATAACAAAACATAGTTAGTTTAAAATTTTACAACATGCCTTAGTTAATTTATCAATTTTATATGAAGTAGCATTAAAAAAAATAATAGAAGATCTATGAACTTATTACTTTCTTTATTGTAATGTTACCACGTATAAAACCTTTTGATTTGTTGAATTTGATATTTTTACAATTTTACAAATTATTCCTTACCTGGACATTTTCTGAATATCATTTCTATGCCACTTTTCCTAAAAGTGCAATGCCATCATTTCTTAGATATTCATAAAACAATGTTGAGTTATTTCAAAATTTTTCGTTGTACTGGGGGATTGTTGAAACAAATTGAGGCTATATTCTTTTTAATTCAAAATTATTTTCTGCCCAATTTATGGTTTTGTTTTCCCTTCAAGTGTACACATAAATTTTTTGGAAATAATTATTTAAATATTTTTTTTATTAAAAAGATTGAGAATTACCACTGTAAATAATGTCTGAAGAATATTTTAAACTGATAAGTAAATTTTTTTTTAGTTAACTGGTTTCTTTAAGAAATGCTTCAAGGTGTGCTTTGTTAGATTGGTAATTCCTTAAATTTATTTCTGTCTGAAAGGAAAATTTTCAAGAATGAAGAAAAATTTGAAGATTATTACTTAAGACTGAAGTGACTAAGAATTATCAATCTAAATAATCTCTTTGTTAATTAAGTTTGGGTGCTCTAGTTAATAAAGTTTTGTTATATTGTAAAGTTACATACACACACATGCATATATATATATATATAGCACTATAAATAAAAATGAAAAGGAGAAAAACAAAGAAAATCAGTAAGTTTTATTTACTTCTCCTAATCTGCAAGCATATAGAACTCATAAAATAAGTTCAAAATGTAGAGAAAACATGGAAAAATTTACAGAATAAAGAAAAAAATATTTGAAATAAATTAATAAAAGTCTGGGAGAAAAAAAGATATAATCTCTTCATCAGCTCAGACGATTATATCCGCGAAAAGGAGTGCTTTCTAATATTGTATCAATATAGTCTATGCAAATACATCAATACAATAGTGTGAGGAGCACTAAAGAAATAGTGGATATAGTCATGTGACTATATCCGTCATTCTATACTTTATTTTTTTACCCCCGGACTTTTATTAATTTTTTTTTCTATCTTTTTCTTTAAAGTAATTTTCTTTTTTCAATATTCTGTAATCTTTTCCATGTTTTCTCTACATTTTGAACGTTGAGCAAAAATTACTAAATGTAAACTAATTTTTAAGAATAGCTCTTAATATATATATATATATGTATATATACACACATATATTAAACAGCTATTTTCCAAAATTGGTTTATATTTTGTCATTTTTTCTTTACAGTTATTCTTCTTAGAAAAATAATTCGAAACGCAGACAAGGTCTTAAAAAATGTTGCATGATATTTTATACGAGGGAAATCATCATTGCAAGTAGCTTCTTTTATAACTGCACCATACCAGTTGAGTTCTATAAAGTTTTCTTTGTATAGTTCAAAATTTAGTACATATGATATAAAATCCTCCTGTTTTAAATTGTGTTCTATTTTTTATATAACCTTGGATCAACTATTTTAAGTAAAATATGATCTTTTAACTTTATAAATTTAATTTATTTTGAGTTAATTTGGAAACTTTTCATCATATTTTTTCTTTTTTCTGAAATAATGGTTGTAGTAGTTTTTAATTTAAAAAAGTATTCTAGCTTTATTTTACTTATTATTAAATGTATCATTCGTTCTTAAGCATAACATTATATGATTTTAAAACTTATTTATTTTCAGGGAATAATTCAAAAGTGCAAACTGCATGGAATGATATTCATGAAGAGCTTCTTACCAGTGAGTCATAAAATAATTTTGAATTCAGACGTAATGAAAGGTAATTTTTATTTTCGCAAAGTGTTTTTAACTTGTTATTTTCCTTATTTTTAAAAATTTAGAAGATTGATTATTTTTATTGACTGATATTCTTATTTGTTTAATGTTTTATTATTTCGAAGTAAAAAACCTAAAAGAGAAGCCGTGTGTAGCATCTTATTTTCATATTTTGTATCTGTATGAAGTAATAAATAACAATAATTAATTCCTTAACTGTTTTATATTTGTTTCAGGCTAATTTAAGTGTTTTTTTTATGAATGAATAATTATTTTCCCCATGGTGTGTAGTTTTCTTAAGAAGTACTTATTTTCAATTTACGCTTTTTAAATTTTTAAAAGCCTTTAAAGATGATTTTTTTATTGGGTGTTTTTAAAAAGTGCTTAATTTTCCTTTTGAAAATGAAATTTTTTTTCTTTGCCTTGTTGATTTTGAACACTTGATATGCAAAAGAGTGGTTTTCACGTTCTTTTCAACGTTTTCACTATTCGTTCAAACGCAATGCATTTTGGCGTACCGTTGGTCAATGGTGTATGAAAGCACCAATCATTTTACATGCTCGACGAAATAGTTGCAGGTCCGCATGTGCATATACTGAGCTTGGATTCAGTGAGATTCTTGCACTCTCATGTTCCTTGCAAGATATTCTTAATTTTAGTCTTCATTTTTCGTCCTCTGAAATCAAACTAAAAAGTCTGACAATCTTTTTATGGTAGCTAATATAATCAAAAAAAAGAAAAAGTTCTTTGTCAGAAACTGGTTATTTTATCATGATCATTTAAAGTATTTGAAATTCAATTTCCCTTTTGTTACTGTACATAGTGCATAAAAATTACTTAAACGGTGCTTATTTTTTGTTGAAAGATTTGGCTACACACCCTGTTTCCTCATCACTTTAATCTTTCTAGTGTTTCTGATGTTTAGTTAGTTATGGTTGAGGTATTTGATAGAATATGAAAAATAGGTTACCTTTGTTTTGTTTTTTATTTCTTTCTAATTTTAATCTTAGATCCTATTGATTTTATCAAGAATAGCTCTATGACTTTGAATCTCTATCGATTAACCAGGTCTTTTATCTATAGTGTCTTTTTTTTCTTTTTAAAATTCGTTCTCCTAATTATTTTTCTCGTCTTTTTTAGTAGAAGCATTTTATAAGTTTTATATAAGGGTTAGGCTCGGTATTGTTATGTTTTCACATTTCTAATTACCTTTAACTTCTTCATAAAGATGGACCCTGGTCATTAGATCTATGGATAAAGCAAGAAAATGTTTATTGTTCTCCATAGATCTGTGCTAAAATTATTAAATAAGAAATTATCTGTTCTACTATTTAATCAAATATAAATTTCAAATATAAATTTCATACATAAATTTCATTTTAATTTTTATATTCAAATAATATTTTTCTGTTAATTTTTTCTCTCTTGGAAATTTTAATGGAAATATAGGAAAAATTAAGTCTGATTTTATTTGGGATTGCTTATTATTAACCTATTATTATTTTTTTTATCTACATGGGCTCATCTTTTCATTGAGTCAGTTTTATTCAGATCCACAAAACTGTGTATTAGATTCACAATTCTCTATTTCATTATTTTTTTTTATTAACTTTTTTTCCCTATTTATTCTTAGTTTCTATTCTTAGTTTCTATAGTTTCCTTCTTGATGCTAAGGCCGTTGACCAGACTTAGATCAAATTGATATTTATTTGAAAGTCTTACTTGAATGTAATATTAAAAAGCTAAATCAGTTTATTGACATTAAAACTTGCTCAATATTTAATCAAAAATTGCAATAATTTGGTTTTTAAGATACTTAAATTATGAATTAAAATGGTAGTTAACATTAAAACAAAATTTTAATGAAGAGTAAATATTGATACTACATGTATTTAAATCGTGTAGTTAAATGTAGAGAAAAAGTATTTCTTTACTCAAACTTTTTCTGTTATTATTATTTCTCTATTTTTTTCCCTATTTATTCTTTGTTTCTTTTTAGTTTCATTCTTGATACTAAGGCCACTGTACAGATCAGAATTAGATCAAAATGATTATATGTATTTGAAAAATTTACTTTGATGTATTATTTAAAAGCTCAATATTTAATTAAAAAAAGTACTAATTGTATTTTAATGATACTCAAATTATGAATTAAAATAAGAGTAAACATTAACTTATAAAATAAGTTCAAAATGTAGAGCAAACATGTAAAAAATGCTAAGGCTAATGAACAAAGATGAAATAATGAACAAAGAGAAGAAAAAAATAATTGAAAATAAAATAAAAAATTAATGAAAATCTGAAAAGAAAAGATATAAGCTTTTCATTAGCTGACAAGTATGACAATATTAGATACAATATTAGAAAGCACTCCTTTTTTGCGGATATAATCGTGTGAGCTGATGAAAAGATTATATCTTGTATTTTCCGAATTTTAATAAATATTTTCCCCTTTTTTTCGGATTTTTTATTTATTTATTCTTAATTATATTTTTTAATTTTTTCATTATTCTCCCTCTATATATTTAAATTTTGTTGTAGCACTGATTTTTGGGCAACATCATTTTAGCAGTTGCGTCGATGACAGAAACTTTGAGAAACACAGATCTTTTGTTGTAACACAGTCTCAAGGTGAGGTTAGTAAGTTTTATGTTCCATATTGTTTTTAATTATTTTTGTTACTGTGTGCAAACTATTATTATATTCTTTGTTTTAACTAATATTCTTCTAAATACGAAGAAATATTTAAGCTGTTTACTTCATTATTTCTTTTGATAAAACATTTTTGTTTGGTTTTTATTCAAAAGCTTTAGTTTATTTACCATTTTTTTAATATTCGTATATCCCACTTTTCATCAAAGTGATTTTTAACCCAACAAATTGAAACTTTTTAGTGTTCACGTTTCACAATTTTTGCAAACGCTCTTAAACTTTTTTTGCATTGAACATGTTATCAAGCACGTAAAAAGGTAAATAAAGTAAATAAATAAGTGGTTCCCCAATTGATGCTGTTTTACATAACATTTTTAGTGTTCCAAAGCAGACAAAAATCCCCAAGTTTATTCTATTTAACACATTCTTTCTCTTCATGTGTTTCCATTTTTGCAAAAAGACAAAATTATTTTCTGAGCTTTAGAAAACCACACCTGTTTAACCCCACCTTTTTTCCCCATATTGACAGTTCGGGTGAAACGACGGTTGAATCAATAATATTAATACAAATGCACTCCTGATTGTGCTTCTGGAAAAATAAGGATTTCCGTATTTTTTGCTAATCGCGAGAAATCAAAGGCCCAGAAGTTTTAAGAAATCATCGATTACATTTATGCATAAAAACTCTTGTATATTTTATTTAGAAATATTAGAACTAGAATTTATGCTTGACCTATTTTTCATTTGTAAATATTTTTTCTGGTAGAATAATAAATGTGATTACAGATAAAAATAAACTTATACATAATTATTTATTTAAGTTATGCTACATGTAATTTACTTAGAATTTCATGTTTTGAAAACATCAGTCGCTTAAATTTATAAAGACATTAATTTTTAGAAATGTGTCAATGATTTTATTCAAGAAATTTTGAGGATTTTTGAGTTGGGCTCGCGATCACCACTGATATACTTCTGATTGTCTGTCTATAACTTCTGGTTGATCCGGATTCAAAAATATTAGGAAATATTGACATTCATTATTTCATTAGTTTGTACGTTGCAGTGCGTCTACCACTACAAAAATACAATTCCAATTCACTAGTATATAAGACATGTTAACTCGATTCAATGTTGGGGAACCTTTTCATAAATGAAGGTTGACATTATCAACAACTCCTCTCCTCACTTTGGTGACCCTTGGACGCGATGAGAACAAGCCGACCTTGGCAGAAACTTTGATTTGAACACGTCTACTTTTATGGATTCCTCATTAAGCAGTTGACTTGCCACTTGTCACTGCGACATTAATCATCTCCTCGCGTTGTTGCTACTCAGTCTCGATCACACATAACGTTGGCCTGAACTGCTGATGGCAACACATGAGCGACCTCGATCGTGAACTTAATACAGCTCTCACGATCAACACTCAAAAGTATGGTGATCTTAATACAGCTCTCCCGACTTCTCACAAAACAGAAATGAATCTACTAGTGGTATCCATTCATTGAATTCTGTCACAGATAAAATTCTGGTGGGGGTGTACTGTAGTGTATCTACCACTACAAAAAATACAATTTCAATTCACTAATATATGACATGTTAACTCTATGCTATGTTGGGGTACCTTTTCATAAATGAAAGTTGGCATTGTCGATAACTACTATCCCCACATTTTTTTTTATTTGAAATTCTTAGTTTATTTACCATTTTCATAATATTAAGTTTTATAATAATAAATTCCTAATTATTTACATACAACTCCTGTTTATACTTGATTCAAAATGTTAGATAATTTCAACTGTACTAGAAAAAAAATATTTAATCTTAATAATACTAAATGTGCAACACAATCAAAAACAGGAAAATATAAGTTATTTTACTTATTAACATTATGTAATGATAACCTTCAGTTCGAATTGAAATTTTTTTTTATATTTCTTGAATCTTCAATATTTTTAAAAATTTTAATATCAAATGTTAAGATTTATTTCAGCATCTAACCTTATATTTCTTTTATTTATTCATTTATTTTTTGTTGTTTATGATATCAAGCACAGTGTAAGCTATAATCTGAAGATCTTGAGAGAGATAAATATATTTTCTTACAACAATGAGTATATAATTATTAATAAAAAATAGAAACTGAAGAAAAGAAAAAATTTTAAAAAATATCAATTTATTTCAAACTTAAATATAATGTTACTTTTACGATAAAGGCGCTTTACAAATAACTTAAAAATAAAACGAGTCTTAAGGAAATGTGAGTTTAGATTTATTAAGATTCACTCTAAAATTAATGAAATCTTTAATTTAATCGATTTTAAACTATATTTAACTAATAATAAATTATTATAAGTTTAGTTCAAATTTAAGGTACAATAACATCTTAAGTAAAAATTTTACTTTTTGTTCAATTAACTCTAAATTTTAATTTATCGTAATTTTTTGGCAACTTAATAACATAACTTTGTTTTAAATAATTTTTTTTTGTCTTCTTATTTAGATAATAAATTTCTATCCCGTTTACCTCCTTTTTTGATCTGTTGGAGCAATATCGTATAAAATTCACTCCACCAAACAATGGCTAAGCACCTAGCCCCGTTTTTCAGGTCTTCATCGTTTATTAAGCGTGGTAGGAATGCTATGTTATTATGGTCGTGATCAGATAACGTGGACAACGCCTGAGCTGGTATCCTTCTCTCTAAACTTTCACATCACAATCAACATGGCAGTTTTAGCCACAATAGATTTAACGTGTACCTTTCTGTGTATTTGCACTGGTGGCTTAGGCGGCTTCTAAAATTGAATTTATGACCCGCAAGTGAAGTGAGCAGCCACCGTCGCCTTCATTTTAATATGCAATAGAGCCGTGATGGCTGGTCGATACGAATTCCGCATGCGGCCACATCACCGACCACAGTGCTGAAGGTATATATCCTCAGTGGTAGAGGGATCATGGGTTAGAGTCCCTCTGCCGTCAGGCTAACCGTGGGTGGTTCTCGTGGTCTTCCTCTTCATGTAACGCAAATGTGGTTTAGTCTCATAAAAAAGTCCTCCGCGAATTTCTCTCAATACTTGATCCAGGAGATCCCTTGTCTTCTGGATTGGGTTCAAAATTACAAGGTTACGCAGTTGAACATTGATAGTTGTAAACCCAAACATTGGGTCGGCCACTCAACGACGGTTATGAAATAAAATATGCCAATAACATAAAATTTGTGTTGAAAAGTTTATGGAGTCACATTAACTCAACTGCATATAATTAGTAAATTATTTGTATGTCATTTTAATATTCTTTTTGGTTCCTTTGATCTTTTTATTACATCGCTGATTATTCGCAGCTTTCAATTCCTCATTGTTTCTTTAATTTTTCAAAGGATTTGATTAACAGCCAGTTCTACTTCAGATTTTTTATGGTAATGTGATAGATACACAACTTACTGCTTTTTTTTAGCTTTCTTTGATATTTTTTTAGTGTTTTTAAGATTTTCTATAAAAATTTTAGTTTTAAAATTTCACAAAAAAAACATGGAGATTTCTTGGTATTTTCTTGGTCTTTATTCAATAAATGGATATTTAGGTATCAAAGAAAAATAAGTGAAATTTATTACTAGCATTAAATATTTTAGTCATCTTCATACCAAAATAATTATTTCTTTCTTAATAAAAAGAGATATTAAAAATTGTACAAAGCAGTTAAATACTACAATTCCAAAGGACAGTTTTGAAGTGCAGCAGAAATTCCATAAGACAATTGAAACTAATAGAAAATTTAAAAGAAAAAAACAATGAAAATTAAGAAATTGATGAAAAATTTTAAAATGCCATTTTTATATTTTTCATCGTTTTCTTCTTTTAAATTTTCTATTTGTATCTTATTCCCTTTTGGTCTTTACCCAATTTTGTCAATTTAGTTTTTTGAAAAAGTGTTTGATCTATAATACTATCTTTCCTTAAAAGATTATTCATTCTACCTTTTATGTTATAAACTTATTGCTAATTGTGATTTTACTTTTTATATTTTACTTCTTTGAAGCTTCCTTCATCGACTTAAATTATAATCCTAGAAATTACGGTATTTTCTAGTTATATTGCATTTTTTAGATATCCTGTCTTTTATGTGATGATAATATGTAATGGTATATATATGTTTGAAAATGTTAATGATTATTAATTTTTTTCAGGTCAAAGCAATGACTTATTATTCCACGACTAGTGCATCATTTGTGCCATTTAGACTGCTTTCAATTGTTGAAGATGTGGATAAAAACAGGTGACTTTCTTTTTTTCTTAACTGCTGAATATTATTAAATTTGTTATTTAAAGAAGTTTTTTTTTTAAATATCAGTTTTTTATAATAATTTTAATTTAAAATTCGGTTTGTAATAACATTGCTTTTTTTATAATAATTATAATCTAAACTGATTATTCATTTTAAATCCAAAAAAAGAACATGCATTTTATAACTATTTTTGTTTTTGCAAGTTAAATTTTTTATTAACTTGTATTAACTATTCATTTTTTATTAGCTTGCAAGCTAACTTTAGAAACTTCAGCCTATTTTAGAGCTTAGCAAATATGCCAATTGTAGCATAATTTACAATGCATGTCAATTTTTTTTAAAAATTTATTTTAATGGTTAATATTATGGATGTAAGAATGGTCTAGTCACTGATGTTCGATATTTTTCTTAATACAACTATGTAGAATATAAGATGATTTTATGATCTTTTAATTCTTTTTCATATTATTCTGTAACTACTACTACTATATGCAATGCAATGCAAAAAGACTAGTTGTTTTTTTTTTTGGAAAATTAAATAAAGTAAAATAATGATTTTTTTAAAGAAATATTTTTAAAAATAGCTGTATTTTTTATTAATGTATTTTACTTACAATAGGTACGATAAATAATTTATTATTGATAATTCTTCTAATAAGTGATTTATATGTATAAAAAAATGACTGTCTGGTTTCCAAATCCTTCTAAATATTTAAAGTAACCAAATCGAATCTCATAAAATTCAAGATCAAATATTCCTTAAAACATTTATATAACATCCAAAATATACAAATATACGAGCCAATAACTTCACAGTTAACTCACTGAGTAAAATATTATTCATTTTATTTACGACAGGTAAGTTTTTACCTTACAAAAAAATGAAATTAGTAGGAGCAAGCAAAATACAATTGTGTTTTGCAGAAGTTTTTCCTCAACTCAGGGTTACAAATTACAAATCAACCTGTAGTTACTCATATTGTTATTGCCTAAAAGAAATTTTTTAAAGTACTTTAAAGCAATAAATAATATTTATTCCAAAATCTATTAACAATACGAAATTCTTTTTAATTCATTATTTAAGTTTCACCACAAGTTTCCATTGCAATATTTTTTAAATAGAGTCGGACTTCTTTTTAACGAACTTCCATTTTGCGAATTTCTCTATTTTTTTAATTAAAGAAACCAAGAACATTTTGGAAATTTCTTGTTAAAATAACTTCCAAATAGAAGGGAATTTTCTATTTAAAGAACTTTTCTTTGAGATCCACATGTTTGAAATGTTCTGTAATGTTTCCCAAAATATTTCTGAACATTTCAAACTTTTTGACGCATTTTATGGGAGAAGCCACTTAATTTATAGAGTATGCTGTAAAATCCCTTTTTGCTTGCATTTAAAACAAAAAACTCAGACGAAATTAACGGATTTTATCAGTAGCAATTAAACTTAAGAATGCATGTGGTGATGTATGTTTAAAATTACTTTCATACTAAATGCAGCTATAATATAGTACATAAATTTAGTTTTTTTTTCAGTTGAAAATTTATAACATATACTAGATAATGTTTTGCGCTTTTCTTGCTTTCCATGCAGATTTCTTTTATGCTTTTATAATTTATAAAATAAATAGTAGATGTTAGTTTACAATATAAAGGTGTATCAATTGCTATTTTAATTATGTCTAGTGTTTATGAATTTATAAAATGCTTTGTATTGTTTAAGTATTTCAAAAGGTGATTTTCTATTTAGGTAATTTTTCTTCCAACAAACTTATTTTCGGGTGACTTTGTTAAATAGAGGTCCGACTGCAATGTATACACACTGATTGTGCTTGTCAACCCTTTTCAGATTGCTTTGCTATTTGAGCTGATTTTACTTGCTCATTAAATACCTTGTAGTACTTTTTTTAAAGTTCTTTCTTAGAAATCTTATGAAACCTTTGATTTCAAACTACTTGGGTATGCTACTTAGTAATACTGAAATACTACCAAGTAGTTTTTCAGTACTACTACTTGGAAATTAGATTTAGACTGGAAAATTCATTGAATTTTTCTATGTACACAAAAATATAAATTCAGTGTTTGGAGTTGCAACAGTTTAATATATTGGGTACCATATGGGATTGATGAATACCTCAGCTCATAAATTTAATAAGGCAGTGTGACTCTTATGTGCTACACTGCAATGGTGCCATTGCCTGTGCGAACTATTCATAATAACTACATTAGTAAAATTGCTCTATACTTGTACTTAACGTATTACAGTCCTTTATTCTGACATAAACTTGCTAAATGTAGTATTTATAAAATCCAAAGAAAAATGCTTGAAAAGTTTTAAAATATATATATATGTATACATAGATGATTGATTTATGAGGTTTTTGTTCTTTTGCTATTTTATTAGAATACTTCTCTTTCGTGTACAAACTATTAAGTGATCTGTATAAATTATGGAGCATCATGAAAACAAAAAGAATAGTCTTAATTATAGTGTAACCTGTGTAGATTAAAAAACCTAATCGAAAAAAAATATAGCTCAGATTGTTGGTTTACATAAACAGTTTGTTTTTTAACTTCTGCCGAACTCAGAGATCAGTATTTCTTTCTTCGTTTTGTTGTCAATGCGAAAAAAGAAGTTTCATAAACTTAGTCATGACATACATTTAGTGTTTTAAATAAATTCTTTCTGTTATACAAGAAAAATTACTTTTGATAACTAAAAAAACATAAATTTTTTAAAATTGGTTAATATGATGTTTATTCAATTCATTTTAAATTAATTAATACTAAAAAAATATATTTGAAATTGTCAGCATACTAATAATTTTTTTCCATAGGGATTGCGATTTAACTCTAAAATTGTCTTGTAATTTGTCCTAATTGGTTAAGTTAAAGCAATTTATTTCACAACTATCCTACTAAAAAAATTTTTTTTAAATCAATAATTTATATTACTTTTAAATTATTTATATACAATATGCTTCTGATTTGTATTTATTTTAAAGAATTACGAACTAAAAATAGAAAAGGCCTCAGAATTTTTTTTTTGAAATTTTAAAGTATCTAAATTGCTTAGCTTGCTTAAATTGCTGTGTTAAAAAAAAAAAAAAAAAAGCAATTTGAGTATATTAGAAGTTGCAACTATAGTAGTAACTGCTGAAATAGAGATCGAAAGTTCTAATCTATTCACTTGGTTAGACTTTACTTTAAATTAATGCATTTTCTATTGCTAGTCCTCAATTTTCGAAAAGTGCTAGACATTGATTTACACATTTTGGTTGAAAACATAAAATAGGTCAAAGTGATAACAAAATTTGTAGATTTTTTAAATTATGAGTGTCAAATGAAAGACTGTGCTGTCATCATATGATTTCTCTTTTTGTAAGGATTACTTGTATGTGTTTTGTTTACTTCCCCGTGGCAGAGACAAGGGGACACTGTCAGTGAACACAAAATTTTTCCTTTGAGAAGTTAAAAATTTCGGTTTTCTTTTCTGTAAAAGGTTTCGATCTATTTTTTTAATGTAGTTATTACTATTGATTTCCACAATTATTAAAATCCTATATTTTTAATAAGATATCATTTATTACAAGAACTGAATCTCAAAATGAAAACTCACATTTAGTAATCTCTTTTTGAAAAGTCCGATTCGAGTGATTTTGTCGTAAATTTTTTTTGGTAGTTACTGCAACTGATTTCACCTTTTTTTTCTAATGCAATGATTTGCAAAATGCGAAAAGGGAAATAATTAGCGTGTTTTCCTCCCATAAAATACTGGAATATCTGCAAAAATATTAAATGTTCGAATAAAAAAGTTATATAATTTAATTTTTAATGGAAGTTTTATTTTTGAAGTTGATGATTTTGTTACTTTAAATTAGTAACAGGTATATATTTTTTATTTTTAAAACTATCTTGCAGAAAGATATTAGTATTAAGGAGGCACGTTACAGAAAGCCCCCAAAAAAATTCTGCTACAGGGGGTTACTTATTGATGAAGACTATTTTTTTTATATGTGGTTGGCTTATAATTTATTTTTAAAAACTTGATTGTAAATTTTCAAGGGAATTTTACTATCTGAGGCAGTTTTAGTATGTAAAGTAAACAATATGTGGTTATTGGTGCTTTTACACATTTCTCCCCCTTCCATTTTTATTCAGCAAATAATTGCATGAAGAATCTATTAAGACAAAAAATGTTTTGCAGTGAAGCAACGCCTTATACGTAGTGAAACTACTGTAGTCGCAACTTTTCTTCGTAGTTTGTAGTGTAGTGTGCTATTTTTTTACAAAAGTAGTGTAGTGACATAGTGTGTAGTGTTTTTGAAAAGTACTTAAAGGTGCGTATTTTCGATTTTGGTTACTTAAAAGCCCTTAAAGGTGCTTTTGTCATGGGGTGTTTTTAAAAAGTGCTTAACTTTCCCTTTTCGAAAATGAGATTTTTTTTTTCTTTACCATGTTGATTTTCGTCAAGTATGCAAAAGCATGGTTTTGACGTTCAACGTTTTTACAATTCTTTCAACCATAATCCAATACGGCGTACCATCGGTCCATAACGCATGATAGCGCTAATCATGTTGCAGGTTTGATGAAATACTTGAGGGGTCCGCATGTGCATCTAGTGAGCTGGGATCGTTGAGATTCTTGTACTCTCGTTTGCAACTCTGCTGCATTTTGCAAGATATTCTCAATTTCAGACTTCATTTTCCACCCTCTGATATCGTACCGAAGAATCTCTCGATCATTTTTTCATGGCTGATATAATCAAGAAAAGAGTTCTTTGTCAGAAACTAGTTATTTTATCACGATCATGTAAAGTCTTTGAAAATTATTTTGCCTTTTGTTAATGTATATAGTGCTTAAAAATATTTTTTGAGTGCGTAAAAAGTACGGGTTAAAAGGTGCTTATTTTTTGTTGAAAGATTTGGCTACGCACCCTGAGTGAGTAATACGATACAAAAAAAAAGTAGTTTGTAGCAATTCCTGGCAACTACT